CTCTACTGAGAAGTTGCTTTCCATATAGATTCCTATGGATTCCAGGTAATCCTAACAGATTCCCAGATGAATCTTCTAGCTTCTGTTTCAGTATATGTGGAGTGGAATTACAAATTCTCAGCAGGGGATCAAAACCGAATGATTAGAAGCTCTGTTTATGAAGGCGGGGAAAAGAAAACTGCCTAAATCAGTGGTTCTCAAACTTTATCAGAATCACCTGGAGAGCTTATTAAAGTATACCTTGCTAAACCCTACCTCCAGAGCCTCTAATTCAATAGGCCTTAGAATTTAAATTTCTAACAAGTTTCCAAGTGATTCTGGTTCAGAGACCACACTTGGAGAATGGCTGCTGCAAGAGGATTAGCTCCAAGGGACTGGCAGGCAAGAAGATTCGGTGTGTTGTAATTCCCAGTGTTTGGGCTCTTTAGAGAAGGAAAGGAAAAGGGCCAGTTCTCTTTTTTACAACTAAGGCCTTTAGTCTGAGAGCTAATCTCTAAGAATATATGACTGGTCATCACAGCCTTTTCTTCTCACCATATAACAAACAACACAACAAAAATGAGACTCTGCTAAGGGAACATAACAGGAATTTCATTCATCCCAACACTTTTAAAAAGAATGTTTCTGTGAGGAAAAAAGTCGTGCCTCACTTTCCAGTGTTCCCAGGAGGTAAATATTATTGTATTTCAGGAGGAAGTAATTCAGATAATTGGTAACAATATCCCTCCCCAACCTTCTGGCCACACTCCCTTCACAGGCTTTCACTACAAGTTGGTCTTCTTGCCCTCTGATGTAATTTAAGCTAGCCATAATTCCCTCAGCTGAAATGACCTACCCAAACAGTCATGCACACATTTGTATGTATTTATCTAGTTCTTCCAGCCAAATTCTTCAAGGAAGTCCTCCCTCTCCTTCATAGTCAGTCAGTCACCAAGCCATCCCAAGAATCCCCAGAATCCACTCATTATTCTTCACTTTGCACTCTAAAGCAAATGTGTTTCTGATATCAGGATTCTCCCCTGATACAGAATTTTCCTACCTTCCTCCCATCCTCTTTTCAATCCTTTTTTTCTCTAGGTTTTGGCTAGACTGCTCAGTTTGGTGGACAGACAGGTCTCAATTTAAACAGTATCATTTCCAGAAATTAAGGTCTTCTGATGGTCTCTAAATCAAGTTAGAGCTCTCTTTCATCAGCTCCCACTGAATTCTGTTTCCTCTGTCATGAACACTTACCACATTTGTGGTCTTGTTTAATTATCTTCTCTACTCACCTGGCCAACTGACTGGAAGTGATCTATATTTGTTCCCATTCCAAAGAAAGCTGACCCATCAGAGTGCGGAAATTATCAAACAATAACATTAATATGCAAGCAAGATTCTGCTGAAAATTATCCAAAAACAACTGGAGCAACACGTTAACAGAGAACTGCCAGATGTGCAGGTTGGGTTTAGAAGAGACCGAGGTACTAGGGATATTATAGCTAATGTTAGATGGATCTTAGCTGAAAGCAGAGAGTACTAGAGGAATGTCTATTGGTGTTTCATTGACTATGCAAAGGCATTTGACTGTGTGGATCACAACAAACTGTGGCTGATTCTGAGAAGAGGAATCCAGAACATTTGATTGTGCTTATGTGAAACCTATACTTGAACCAAGAGACAGTCATCAGAACAGAGGAAGAAGACACTGCATGGTTCAAAATTGGGAAGGTTGAATGCCAGGGATGTATCCTATCTCCATACCTTTTCAACATATATGCGGAAAAGATTATCCAGGAGGCTGGGCTATATGATTTTTTGAGAGGTAAAACTGGCATGGCTTGATAACTGACTGGCTATGAAGGAAAGGGAGGACTTCACTGAAGAGTTTGGCTAGAAGAACTAGATAAATAAATACAAATATCTGCATGAATGTTTGGGTAGGTCAATCCAGCTGAGGGAAGTATGGCACCTTAGTCGCCAGTCTGACATCGTTGTTCTTCAGTACTCTAGAGAGGCCCCTGACAGTCAAGTTTCCCAAAATGCAATTCATCTCTTGATTTCCTGGCTGCTGGTATCAAGAGTGTTGACTGTGGAAACCAAGCAAGCTAAAACTGTCAACCACCTCAATCTCTTCTCCATCTATCATAGCCCTGGCAATTGGTCCAGTGCTGAGAATCTCCCCCCCCCCCCCCGCCCAATGTTGAGCTTCAATCTATATAGAAGGCTCCATATAGTTCTTGACCTATAGCAAATGCCTGAGGTCTTCCTCAGTTTTGGCAAGCAAGGTTGTATCATCTGCATAATGCAGATTGTTGATGAATCTTCCTCCAATCCTATGGGTCATCAGTATAAAAATACTACCAAGCAGCTTCTGACTAGGTTGGGCCCAAACCATGACTGCAGCAATGGGCTCAAGGATGTCAGAGTCGACGAGGACGGTACAGGATAGGGCAAGATTCAGTTACATTGTTCAAAGGATCACAGTTTACTCCACAGCATCTAACAAGTGACCCAAATTTGAGCCTGGCTAGCCTAGAGTGACATCCTAGGTCTTCTACTTGAAGCCATGCTACTTTGTGCCTCTGACTACTTTTTTACGTCTCAAGGTTTTCATCTTGGAAATGGTGATAATGATATATCTCTCAGGATTATTCTATTAATGAGATCTACATGTAAAATCCTTGGCAAGTTACTCAACATAGAGTAAACATGCAGTGAATGTCCGTCTTAGAATAATTACAGATTTCTAATTCTTAAAGAACTTTTAGCCTTCTTAAGATAATGAAGGTAAACTGAAAATATTGAAGAAATTAAGTTATATGTTTAGAATTTTCCTCAGCAATATCCAAGGGATATGGGGAAGAATATAGATGCAATATGATTTGCTATGTTTTGAAACCTTTTGAAGGAGGGTGATTAATATACTAGATTCATTGCTATACATCTATAACTTTTTTATATGTTTGAAATTTTCAGCAAGAAAAAGTTTAAAGGTCTAATCACTGGGGGAGAGAAATTATTTAAACATGTAATACCGATAAACCCCAACCCCGGTCACGGACAACACATGATTGTTTATATGTTACTTTAATGTTTACTTAAATGTTGCTTTAATGTTAGTTACATTTACCCACAATCTTAAATAATTGTATAAACTCCCTACTAACAACAAATTCTTCACTACAATCACCTTCACTGACTAGCTACATATGCAGCTTTTTAGACATAGAAAAGGCTTCAATTTTTCCTTACACTGCAATCCCAGAGGAACACAGCTCTGCCTGGAGAAGGAGGCGCAATATCCTCCTGTACCAGTCAGATCTGATTTGACGGTACAAGCACATAAAATAATTAAAAAAAAATTTCCTTACACTAAAAAGGCTAGATAAGAACCCTATGTATCTGTTCTTACTTACCTACAAATTCAGCTTAAAGGTACACTAAGAAATGGATTTAATAATAATAATAAAGAAATGGATCTCATTCATAACCCAGCAATGTCTGTCATTTATTTAGGCTGTACTGGTTACTCAGTGGTAGAATTCGACTCTCTCACTGAAAGACCAGGGTTGATTCCTGGCCCTCGTACCTCAGGCACCACCACCAAACATCTATCAATGGAAGCCTGTGTGTTGCTATGACGCTGAGCAGGTTTAGACTAATATGGACCAGGAAGAAAGGCTTGATGATCTACCCCCAAAATCAACCAATAAAAAACTCCATTGATCACCTTGGTCCAATCTAACTGATCACGGGGTGATGCAGGATAAGGCAGCATTTCATGGCGGTCATCATGAACTGATGTTGGCTCAGAACTCATTTTAAGATTAAATTGCATTAGGTAACTGGCAGGATAAAATCACTTGAAGGAATAAATATATAAAACCCATACCCTTTTACTAACTTTTCAAACAGAAACGTCTCTGCTAAGGGGAGGAAGCAGAGCCCCTCGTACAGATTTATCTGTCTCTTTTGGGGGAGATTAATATAGCGTGCTTGGGTTATGCATGCATCTTTAGACAGACAAATCCTGGGAGGCAGAACCTGGCTCTCAGTGTACCTAGGCTGCTGATGGTGATACGTGTCATCAAGTCAGAACTGACTCATTGCTGACCCTGCACTGGGTTTTTAGACTGTAAAGTGAATGGGAGGAGACAGCCCATCTGTCTCCCATGGGGCAGGTGGTGGATTTGAACCACAAGCCTTGGGGTTGGCAGCACAAATGGCATCCAAACGCCCCATTGAAAGGATCTGAAAAGCAGGAATAGTCCCGTGTTAGAGACATCAAGCAAAATCTTCAGAAATAGCGGGTAGCACTGGCTATCCTCAACGCAGGGGGAGGGAAGGAACCAAAACAACAAACCCTAAACCAGAGCAAAACCTTAAAACTAAACCTACTGCCATCAAGTTAACTCCAACTCCTAGTGACCCGACAGGACAGAGAAGAACTGGTCCACACGGTTTCTAAGGCTGCATGTCTTTACAGAAGCAAACAGCTCCATCTTCCTCCTGTGGAGCAGGTGGGGAGTTCAAACCACTGATCTTTCAGCTCACAGTTCAATGCTTAATCACTATGCCGCCAGGATTCCTTTCCTTAAACTTAGTTCTTTCTAAACCCTGGCTTTCCATTGCTATTTGAGGTCACCTTAAGAAGCTGGTTCAGCTTGGTCCGAGGCTTTCCTTCAGAAATTTTCATCCAGATGAGAGGTCCGTGTAGAGAGTAACTATTATGGGAGAGGATGCTTGAGGAGAAGGTTCATTTGTGTCTAAGAGTTCCCGAGAGGTTCTGACAACACCAAGCAAGCACATTCTCACATCATCTTTCTTCTTCCACATACTCCCATTGAAAGAAGTCTGGAATTTGGAAAAAAATACTCTTCTCCCACTTCACCTTTAATCAACCAGCCCACTCCAAGTCCCTCTGTCTTAAAGATGGTTTTGAACAAGCTTTGTTTTAAACAAATGCCTTTAAGCTCTTAAACTCTTCCTGCATAGAGAGAATAGTCAAAAGTACTTACTCTTCTTGAAGAATGAATTCACTATTTTCTGGAGAAAACTGCCCAGTCACAGGATGTCTAAACACTGTAGTCTGCTGGTTATGGCTAAAGAGAAAAGGGAGAGGAAAAGATCATGAATGGGAGGATCCATGAGTGGAGGGGATTATAAACACAACAACAGGTCAGTAATATTTCAAAACCCTGGGCTATGAAAGACTCCCCCTGGGTGAGAGAACAGGATATCTTTCTGAGATAATTTTAGTTGATCACACAGAATTTGGCTACACTTGAAAACCAAGATATTCTACCTTAGGTGCCAAGTCCATTTAAGAAACAAAAATTTTAATTCTAGGGAAATCCTGGCTACAAGAGAACATGTCATCTTAGAGAGATTTTTTTCACTTCAACAAATTGAGATGCTGAACATGAAATTACTTTAAGACGACACAAGCTAAAACAAGAATGAAGGAAAGCAGGCAGTACTTTCAACAGCTTCCAGCAACCAAGAACCAAAGAAGGAATTTTAAGAATTAGCCACCCACCCAGAAAATTCTATCTTCTTAAACGTCTTCTCCCTACAACAAAATATCTTCACTTCAGTGATGGGATATAAATGTATGGGCATGTCTCTGCAATATGACCTGCACAATTTCCACCCTGTAGAGTTTCTATCACCCTTTTGAAGTTAGGAGGGATTGCTTTCTGCCCCAAGCTGACAGACACAACCAAAGTGTGTAGGTGTTTTGTGTATTGACAAAGGCTGCTTGGTTCTTTGAAAAAGAGAAGGAACTGGCTCTTCATTGTACTGGCACCTGGGCAGCTGATGATAGAAACTGCTGGTTTGCATCCATCAAGAATAAAACTAACTTAACCTCTTTCTTTTTAGAATAATAGATGTTATTAGAAATACATTCCATAGTCATAAAACTAATTCACGGTCATTTTAGAAATTTACACAAGTTTTAGAAATGTGTAAAATTGTTGTTTTTTGATGGCCTAGTGGCAAGAAGCTATGCTGCAAACCTGAAGGCATGCAGTTCGAGGCCACCAGCTGCTCTGTGGGAGAAGGATGGGCAATCTCTTCCCACGCGATTAACTGTTTCTGAAAACCCTCTGGAGGGTCAGCTATAGATCTGTTCTGACTCAACGGTACATAACAACAACATTGTTGATTCAGAACCAACTCATAGCTGACTCTCCACTAGGTTTTTGGAAGCAGTAAATCAGACAGGAGGAGGCTGTCCATCTTTCTCCCATGGAGCAGCTGGTGGGTTTGTACTGTGTATCTTTGGCACAGCAGTGCAACTTCTTCCCACTAGTACAAGTGACCTTACCAACTGGAAATATACCTGGATATCTCCTAAGCTTTCCTATTCTATTGCTTAAAAATGTGCCTTCCACTATCTACTAACATAGACATCTCCTATGTCATTTAAAATAGAGGAAGAAGAGTTGTTTCAAACATATGTAAAATTTTTTTTCATAGTCATTCAAAAAAATGTATTTATAGGATACGTGTAGATCTAGGAACACAACAGTGAACAAAAAATATCCTAATCCTCACGATTTTACTGTTGATAGTTGCCATAGAATCAGTTCTACACAGCAACCCTCTGTATGTAATAACGTACAACTATTCTGTATGGTTTCCAGTCATGGAAGCTGGGCATGTGACCTTTCAGTATCAGATCACTAGGCTATTTTCTGAGACGTCTCTGGATGGATTCAAACCTGGCAAGTAGTTGAGAACTTCGTCATTTGTGCCACACAGCTGCTTCTAGAAAGGTTTACACAGGGATAAGCTGGACACTAAGAAGTCAGTCCTGGAAAATGGCATCACATTTGGTAAAGAAGAGGGTGAGTGGAAGAGAAAGATTCTCAACCAGATGGATTGACACAATGGCTGCAGCAATGAGCTCAAACACTCAGTGACTGTGAGAAGGGTTCCAGCTAGAGCAGTGTTTCATTCTGTTGAACTTACTAGCCCCTAACAACAACAAAAAAGGTTCAAATACCTTGAAGCCCAAAAAGCCAAAGGAGAAGCAGACAGGGCCTTATGTCTAGGCTGTTCTCTGAACTATCTAACTGTGCACCTCCTCTGTTAGCCCCTCACCTCAAAACCACAGGCAGACCCTGAAATACCAGCTCCTGATCCCAGGCAAGCCCTTGGAATCCCATGACCTCATCTGGCAAGCAGCAGCTTGGGTTTCCAAAAAAAGCAGTTAAGTCATGAACATCTAGACAAAGGCCCCTTAACACCTGTTCCAGAAATCCTAGCACCATTTTCAAGAGTGAGGCTTTATTTACACCCAGATTCTTCAAGAAAGTCATCTTTATTCACTAGGGAACTTGAAAACATAAACTGTGAGCTAAACCTTCTCTCTGAATCTACTTCATGCCCACCTGGCAGGGAGGGGAATCTATATTCATAATGAGCACAAAAATAAAGCAACGGCAGTACTATTATACACTATTATTTTTAAAGTGCTTTGTAGTCTACAAAACATTTTCTTCTCTTTTCAACTATTTTTTTTTTTTTTATTAATTTCAATGGAAATTTACACAGACTTTGGATTTCCAGTCATTCATTGTTCCACTTTTCTCCCCTTCCAAACCCTCCCCCCTAGTACACTCCCCTCTTGGAAAAGTAAAAGAAAAATTCTTTCATTATTTTACAATCCCTCCCCCCAGGTCCACTCCACTATACAGCCTTTGCTCTGGACTCCTGTCATGACAAAAATACCTAATAACATATCCCTCTTAAACAGTTTTCTCCTTCATCTGTTTCAATGTAGTATGCATTACTGAACCCATCTTTCTCAGTCTCCCCCCAAACCCGAGGTCAGTCTTATTTTACAACAGTGGCATCATGCAGTATTTGTCCTTTTCAACTAGTTCAACTATTCTCAACTATTAACATCATCAACCTACATTTTAGGAATGATGAAACTGAGCTCACAAAGGTTAACTGACTTGGTCAAGATAACTTTGTCAATAAGTGGGAAGACCAGGGCATGAATCTGGTCTTCAATGTCTAAATTCTGTGTTTTTTGCATCATAACCAACTACTGTTCCCTTTCCTGAGGAGTCTGGTGGGGCTGGTGACATCCTGAACACAATTAGAAAATTCTGAAGACAGGCATCAGAAAACAGGGTCTTCCTCCTACTATTTCCTTCACTCTTGGTCCGAGGCTAAAGTTCTGAATGACAGTGCCTATATAACACTCTGTCTCCAAACTGCTCTAGTCTTGCCTGGTGGATGTCTGGTAGATGAGGACACAGAGTGGCCCTTCTATGTTCCTGGAGCAGCATCCAACAGGTACTTCATTTAACATATACTGCACAATCTGAGTGATAACTCCTTCCCCTCAACCCCCATCCTCAGGCTACAGCCCCTTAAATCAGTCCAGAGTCTTGAGTAAATTAATTCTGAGATGGAAGGTGCAGGTCCTAAGATAAATTTTACCTCTTAAAATTAGAAAGAAGATATCTTTTAAAAGTGCTTTACAGTCCACAAAACATTGTTGGGTTTTTTAAAAATTGTTGTCATTTGATTAGAGGCAACCCTTTTTTCCCTGATACGGAGTTGCTATCTTGTTTGTCAAGGAGTTGTCGGCCACAAATCATCACCATTTCCTGCACCAGAAGCTTTAAGTGTGCTCACATTCATCATCTTAGCTTACCCTCCTTGCTCTCTCTTCAAGCAGAAAGGTGGAGATAATGTTATCTCCATGTTGCACAGAGGTAAGGAGGCTGAGGTTCTGGGCTATGAAATCCTATTGCATCTGAGATACCAACAATTGCAAATGAGATACTAACATCTGCGCTCAGATGGCACAGTCTGTAGGAAGGAAGCTGTGCTGCTAACCCAAAGATGGTGCCTGCCTTGCAATTCAGACAGTCAGCTGCTCCACAGGAGAAAGACGGCCAGTCTCCTCCAGTGTGCTTTAGAGCCTCTGAAAACCCACCGGAGGGTCATCTCTGAGTTGTCCCAACTCCAACGCAATGAGAGTGAAAGAGCTAGTGCAAAACTGTTTTAAACAACCAAAGATTGATTTTGAGAAAAGAGATGGGCTAGAGTAATATTTTCTCCTGATCATAGAGGCCTTGACATGAAATCCAGTCATTTCTGACCACACACATAGCTGTGTAGGAGTTCTGGTGGTGTGTGGCTAACTTAATGGCATGTGGTTGAGATCCACCAGCCACCCCTCGGGAGAAAGAGGAGCAATCTCCTCCGGTCTGATTTACATCCTCTGAAAACCCGATGGAGGGTCAGCCACCAGTCAGCTCTGACTCAATGGCAGACAAAAACAAACAACAACATGCAACAATGGCAAAGAGCTTCTGAATCAGCAAAGAAACCAGAGTAAGGTCCTTGGGCGACTTCACCCAGTCTCTCCAGGTATCTGAGAGGGCAGCTTATCTCATCACGATAGGCTAAGGTAAGAAAAATGAGGCCCAGAAAGAGTGAAATTTCTGCCCATACACATTCTACTCCTGCATTAACTGCACACCACCTGCCTTTTGATCTCTTTCCTACTCTAGGCTTGTCCTCACCATTCCCACAATTACTCTAAAGAAAATATAAGAAGATTAAGAGGTAGGGAAACTAGAGATTTAGAAAGGGAGCAAACTGAAGACAGAGAATGTTGAAACATCATTACAACATAGCTAAAGTCATTAAAAAACTGAAATTGTCAAACAGGAACCTAATATATAAAACTTATAAAAGCACAATATTATTTGGAGAAAATAAAAAAAGAATACTCTTCTTATGTCTTATGAGCCTGTGTCAAGAAATATTTAGCAGGCACAAACACATCCCCTGCAATACCTGTTCTTAAACCTGAATTGCCACCCCACTTCCTGGTGGTGCAGCGATGGCCTGGCTGGAAACCTGGTGGTGGTTTCCAGGGAGCAGTGACCTTAATTCCTCCTGCGTTTCTTTAGGCTACTGAGAAAGCAATTTGGTAAGTAAGTGAAAACACAACTAAGCCTTTCTCTTCAGACCCTGGTCTTCCTCCCCGGAGAGCAGTCCCTAAAAAAGGAGGGCGACCAACCTCACCTGGGGACACAGAAAGACGGAGGCAGAGAAGAGTAAT